AGCTCTGGGGAAGAAGCTGTTCCTCAGTTTGGGTGGATTCCGTCACTCACAGCGTTGTTAGCCCTCTTGTGCGCGCAGACTGCAAACCCCCCCCCCCACTGTGTGTTGCCCTGATATCTGCAGTGTGAGGTTGGATCGGTCATTTTCATCCTCACACTGATGCCACTTATTTCGGTCTTTAACTATGGCCTGAATTTCTAAGAATGATTAAAAAAGCTGAACTTATGAAATTGTTGATTAGAGTTGTCATTGTGTGTATTTGTGTAACCATGACCTTGCTCTGCTTAAGCAGAGCTTATTGTTTATGTAGTCATGTTTTGTACATTATTTGCACATTATATTTATTGGACTCTTTCGGCTTTGCATCTGTTTTTTGTTTTTTTAAAATTATGTGGTTACATCTATGCACATTTACATACAAATTGCATTGCTATTTTTCCATTTTTTTAACTGTGAAAATAAATAAATAAACATTTCAAGCTATTGTCAGTGTAAACCTAGAGGCCACTTCAGCACATCCTCACAGTAATCTGATTATGAAGGCGCTTTCAAGCTTGAAGGTATCGCAGCATTTGATTAGTAACATGAGCACATGGCTTGTCTTTATATGAGGATAATTACGTCACAAGATTTTTATAACTGTTTCATTCATTGTTGGGCATTTTAATGACACAGTGACTTTTACAGTTGAAACAACAGAAGCATGAATTTGGAGGTGGCCAAACCCGAAGGAAAGACTGGCAACAAAGCTCCCCTCAGAGCCACGGCCCCCGGCTCCCCACGCAAGTCTGCACCCAAGTTCAAACAGAGGAACACGCGGCAGTTCAAGAGCAAGCCTCCCAAAAGAGGAGTGATTGGGTATGTCTCTTTCTGATAACCTCGCACGAGTCATCTAAGTTTGTCAGATATCCTCCAGTAAAGCTTGTTATTTTCTTTCTTTACCAGCTTTGGAGAGGAGATCCCAGGAATGGAAGGTCTTGGAACTGGTAAGTAAAAAAATAAAAGTCAGATGGCTACATAACCAAAACATGCACATGACATGACCTTTTCTTCCTTTAAAAAACAAAACAAAAAAAACAAAAAACAAAAAAACAACAACTCATGATTTGTTTTCTTCTCTTTGTTTTTTTCATTTTAGACATCACTGTAATCTGCCCGTGGGAGGCACACAGCCATCTAGAGCTACATGAGCTTGCCCAGTATGGCATCATCTGATTATCTCCGCTGTGAAGTTGTTTTAAATAAATGTGGCAAATTTTGAATTTCAGTATTTAGTTTCAATAATCTGGATCATTAATACTGGCTGAAAAGGTGTCTTTATACGTCTGCATGCTGTGAATGCTGTTCTTTGTCTTATATATTTTATATTGTAAACCTAATTTCATAACGATCTCAAGCTGCCATGTTCACAAAACGTGTATCTCGAATGTGTTCTCGTGTCATTGCTTGAGTCTGTGGTTTTAGCTAGAACTCTGTTAGCTTGGTTTCTGCACAATCGTCAGCACTGTCTTTATTATATTTAATCAAACTCTCGAATAAATGTTGACATTTTTAACACAATTTCAGTCATTTGATTTTGTCCTTTTATTTGACGGTTATTTACTGACCCACACTGCGCATGAGAGATTACATCATTCCCATCATAAATACCATCTGTAATCATCATTATTTATTCAATATTTGTTAACACTCAGAACACAAAACTTGCTTTTAGCAAACTCAGTTCAGTTCATTCAAAACAGCGCAGGAAACCTTGCATGTGTGGGACGTGCACATGTGTTTCACATATTTGCAGCAGGTTGTCCACCGTCAGTCGCTGAAAGGTGCTTTTACAATCTTACTCTAATCATTCTTCTGAGCTGTTCCATTTATTCTGATCTCAGCTCAGAATAAATGAATTCCATTTTTGTTCATTGATTATTTTGTTACATTGTAGGTGCTTGTGATGAAGATGCAGATCTGATCTGCAGGACCTCTACTCCCCAGGTGACCCATTTACAACCACTCCTATGCTGTTGAACTGTTTCACCATTTTGAGATCCTCCAAGAATCCTTCAAATATCAGGAGGTGTGTGTCTTTGAAGGATTTGGGCACATGTGGTGAAAACGTTTTGGTGATAGTGTCACTACCGTCCCATAAACACACACACAGATACAGTTTCAAGACTTTCCTTGGTCTGACCCACATTGGTGAAGTTAAAATCTTTCAAATCCATTTCCATATTCAGACTGATTCGATATTTCAGTTAATGAGCAGTTCAACAAGTGTACCTAATGATGTGGCCAGTGAGTACATGTTCTTGAAAAGTGGAGGTTTTTTTTTAAACACAAAAGAGGTGATAGCTATCGCCTGAAATTCTTTTTTTCTTAAACTCTCAAGCATTTTTAAAATGTAAAACATTTTCAGTGGATAATTTGTGTTGGAATTTGCTTTCCTTGTTTAAATTATGTCTCATTTCCATTTGCAAAAGTTCAGTCTGTGTGTTTAAGGTTAGGTTGTTTTAAATGATTGACAAATGAAGCCAGAATTTAAGCACAGCCAGAACTCATTAAACCCCAACCAGCATATTGCTGTATTCGTCACTTCGTGTTATAGCTATACTTTATGACGATTAATGCGTTCCAGCAGTCGTATGGTAATAAATAATATCAGAATCTGGACCCCAAACACGACAGTCACAATTATTCCTATCAGGCCCTCGTGCTGCTTGATCCATCGAGAGATTTCCCCCAGACAACCTCCCAGGAAGATCACACTCTGAGCAGTAAACTCATCCAGTAATTGGGCTCCGACACCACACTGAGAGTTCCACACGGTGCCGTTCTCCAGAGGATCCACGCAGCATGTTGCAGGGACACCGCAGGCCAGCACTCCTGGAGCTGAGCAGTTGTAATATCTGAAGAAAGGGAAAAATAACCCAATAAAAAAACTTCACAGCTCATTAAGTTCTTCAACACATTCCTACATCGTGACCAACTGGCTTTGATTTACTTTCAAAAAAGTTAAAAAAAAAAGATTTCCAAGTTGCTCACATGTTAATCTCCCAGTCTCTGTAGTTGTCCGCCCCACAGCACTGCAGGTTTGACTGAATCTCGTCTGTGATGAACCTCAGATCCAGATCATCTTGGTACCGTGCGATGGCAACTAACATCCCGGATCGCAAGTTACCTTCAATCTGATCTTGTAGAGTATGGGCCACAATGGCGATGATGACTTGAGCTGTGATGAGCACCAGCACCATGGCTGAGAACAGTTTCAGCAAGCAGCGATTCTCTCTTAGGGCACCCACGCAGCCTGACAGGCACAGCACAGTGAGCAGAAAGCCCACGCTCAGAACTACCAGCATTGGGTCAGTGCCAATACTTCTGATCTTCTCCTGAGCAAAGGATTCCTTGCTAATGAGACCCCAAACCCCCAGAGCAAGAAGCAACAGGCCCAGAACTGTGAACAACAGATTGCATATGATAAGAAAGTATTTTAGGAAATAGTCCATGAAAGAATAACCGTAACAGGGATCTATCCTGGCATCTGTGGGACTGCTGTGTTGCTGTCCGCTGTTTGTCCCTGCTTGAAAATCAGTAGTGACCAAGGCAAGCTCCTCAGCATTGTTTGTAGATCCTGCCTTTAGACACACAAGAATGCCACAAAAAATTAAAGCCACCCCAGAAATGTAACTACAGGTGAACAGAGGAACACAGTATTCTCGAACTAACCCAGTAACACACCTACCTTTGGTAAGAGTGGACTGGTCTCATTCGGAGTAACATCTCGTCTCAGCCATGGCCAAGGGAATCTTTTTCTAGGCAAAAATCTCCTCATCTTGTCAACCACTGGGAAACATCAGCTGGTCAGAATGACACAGGATAAAATGTAACACAGGGCAATCATTTGCTACAATACAGAAAAGCATGTGAGCTGAGCTGGAGTAACCATTGCTGTGCTTAGCCTCGGGGGTGGGATTTCTTCATCATGTGAGAGTCACAGTGAGGGGATTAAAAGGGTATCGCAGCGTGTCGGAGACACATACTCACACAAAAGTGGGCATCCGAATAGAACTCGGTACTTTTTATTCAACTCTACTCATGTGCAATAAAGCAGGACCTGCAAAGGATAATATATTGCCCTACAGAGGGACCCATGGGTCAAAGACTCACAAAAATGTCTCCTGATGGTAATTACCACAAAAGGAAGAAAGTAGAAGACATATTTTAAAATCCTTGCTTTAATTTTCCAGAAACCTGGAAAATGTGTTTTAGGCCTCAAAAAAGAAACAACATTGTAGCAGCTGGGCAACCACTGAAACCAGTTTTAAGTTTCAGAATCTACATAGATTCCCAGCTTTTGTACTTTTATAATGAGGATTTTCCAGGTGCATTTGGTTTCCTGCTGTGTATGCAACTTAACATTTATCACTGGATTAACAGAGACTAATCATATCATATCTGTCAATATATCTGTCACTAGTTAGAGCTGGTTGGCCATGCAGTCAGGTATCATGCACAAGACAGTTTCTTCTAACGTTTACAAAAAGTTCAGAAAACCGAGACTCTTCTAACGTATGGCATGAATAATCCCAGACAAAGAACAGAAAAGCAAATGAATTGTCATATTTATTAAAAATAAAACACACTTTACTAACCAAGAGGAATTCAGAACTTCTTAGAAGACTGAGTAAAATGTTTCGTCAGTTTTTAATCAGAAACAGCATCTTGCATTCCTTTGTGAATGACCTTAGTTGTGTTCAGGTTAATTTCTATATGATATCATGTTGCACACACTGCACAAAAAAAACAAGTCAGTCTCTAGTAATGATGCACGTACCTCTTTAAGTCCACAAAACACATCAAATGAGTAAAGTCTTTGAAATGTGTAATTATTTTGGCAGGTTATTGTAGCTATTGTATGGTTGAAATATGAATCCACTGTGGAAGATTGTGCTTACTTACTTAAAAAAGCAAATATGTATGTTTGAACTTTATACTTAAAAGGTTTATAAAGACAGCTTCTAACATCCCAACATTAGCAAATTACTTAGTGCTCCACATTTTCTTCCTAATATAGTAACCCGTGGCTCCAAAATACCAACATGACCACAGCTAGAATGCTAAAATCAGCCTTCAAAATATGATGAAATCAATGGAGGAAATTACAGGAGCATGTTTTACACAAAGTGAAAGAAATGTAGACGTGTCAATTCAGTTTTAGTTAAATTTAAAATGTGTTAACCTAAAAAGCTTACAAATTATTCCTTGAAAATAATCCCTCGAATTAACTCCCTGCCTCTCAGACTTATCAGGGTTTTTGCTATCAGTCAAATGAGATGAAACTCCACCCAAACACAGATGAAGAAGAAGGTCATAGATTACCTTCTATAACAAATAAGAAGAAATGCAACCGTTCTCATTGTGGAGCTTCTGTTTGTATTTAACACCTGATATATTTCACAGTAAAAATCCTCTGTTGTTCTGATAAAGTCGTTATGAAGTGATGTGCTACTGAAAGTCAATAACAAGCAGCACATGAGAGAGCAGATGTGACACTGAGTGAAAAAGCAGAGGGAGAAAGCGAGGCCTGGTTATCTCACTCTCTGGCTCTGCTGGTCCACTGCGCTCATTCTTTCCTCTGGCTGTGCCGAACTGAGCTGCGGGGAAATGGAAGGAAGATCTGCTCACTGCTGCAGGCACTGACTGATGATGGACTCCAGGCTTGTAAGGCTTGGCTTTAGTCCTTCCATAAATTTGATTCCATATCCATATGATTAATAAAAAACAAAACAAAACATAGACATGCTCACTTATACTTGCTAGAAAATTATTTGTGGGTAAGTTGTAGGAATTTATCAGATAAGGTTTTAGCTTTTTGCTGGGATGGATGACTGGTGGCAAATAATTAAGTAATTTTAAAACTAATTACTTTCATTTTATGATACCTTTTAATCCGATTGTTTTTTCACAGGTAAATATTTTAATGCTGCTATGTATATTTAGCAGGTGCACCACTGCTGAATAGTTGATGACGCTGCACAAAAAGATGAAAAAAAGCAGAATATTGGCTTATACACTTTTATTTCTATAATTTAAATCCCATATAACCTACTTTAAAAAGAAAGAAAGAAATAAAAGATCCGAATAGTTTTTCCTTCGTTGCACATTAGGCAACTTTCACTGTGGTTTCTCAGGTCATGGAAAATCTCACTGGGGAAAATGAACTCCAGCTTGTTAGGGTCAGCAGACAAATAACCACTATCAAAAAATGGTTTTTCATTTAGTTTTAAATTATGAGCCTACGTTCAAATAAGAAAATATATTTATCGTGACTGATTGTTGGCAGAAAAAAAAAGTTGGATGTCATCTAGTCATTATTAAACAAATCTTCCTGTTTCCTTTTAAATCTTTTGGGAGGATGGAGATTTAAAAAGTATTTAGTTCCTGCCTGTCAGCGCTGAAGATGTATGGTCCGTATGATGTGATGTTCATCCCACCTACTGCATATACAGTTTGGTATACTGTCTGTGTGTGTAAAGGTGTTGCAGATGGCAGGGAGCGCTGCCCAGTTACATTCCTTTTCAGCAGTGATGGGTGCACCTCCGCTCATATATCAGCACAACTATCTGCAGACATCTGCAGACATCAGCATACCCAGCGGCACATCTTTCAAACAGAATGAGGAACTCTGATCTGAAATAAATCAAAGCTGGAATTTTATTTAAAAAATCTGGGACAGGAAAAAAGCACTAATGTTGTCCAATATTTTCATATGACCTGAAGCTGCTGGTTTTTGAGTAGAAGAAGAAGTAGAAAGATAAATAGCTGTTTGAAGACTATATAGGTTATAGAGTGGGTGCACTTGCCTGTGGAAAACAGGAATATGAAATCCGTCTTAGTCATGAAACTACATGTCATGTCTTGCATCACTGCACATCAAATCTAAACCCACTTCCACAGTTATGTAGATTTATTAAGGTTGGATCACATCAGACTGAGTGAACTAATGCAGTAAATCACACAGCAGCTTAGTAAAGTTAGAAATTAAGGCAGCTGAGGTGTCAAGGAATATCTTCAGGGCTGCATCATTTTCTCTTTAATTGCTATTTTAAAGTTAATCTGGGACTCTAACCCATTTTCTAATTCTGATGCTTTTGGATATTCTCCTTTTTTCTATTAATATGGTTGAATGTGTGTTTTTTATTGTCCCGTTTGCATCAAGTGAGTGCAGCTCACCAGGTTTTGATCACCCTTGACGGTTAAAGTGTTGCTGGCTGGATTTGTCGTAGCCCAGATGTTGAGCAGATTGTATTACAGTAGGCAGTAAGAATGTTATACTGGAGCCATACTTCTACATCAAACACCTTCTCTGGATTGGAGCCTATGGTGAGCACAGTTGTCACATGCCACCCACACAACCTAAAAGACATGCGGAGCAGAGATGGGGCATCAGAAATTACCAGGACCTCCTATTATGGTTATTTTAGAAGATGCACAGTCTATAAGATATGAGAGATGAGGCAAGAGTGGGACGCATATGTGTGCGAGTGGGTTTAGGGAGATTTTGTTTTTTGTGCACGTGAATGCAGCAGTGTGCACACATGCTAAAAGAACTGAGGATGTCACCGCCCTGAATCAGTGACGTGGATGGGATCAGGTGGGGAAATTGCTCCGGGAGTTTGGGGAAAGAGTTATAAGAGAGTTCTGCACAACTCATGTTTTCTCAGTGTGTCACTGCTGTAGGATCATACAGTAGAGAGAGTGTGTTCTGGTGCTCTGATCTGAGAAGACTCCTGGCACTTCTTTGCAAAAAAGGTAGCGTAAAAACCCAAATTTAAATTTACTTTCTTGCTCTTTTTGGAACAAAACAAAACAATTTTTATGGCTTAAAAAAGGTGAACAAAAGACGAACTTATGACTGAACTAATTTCTCATCAGCTTTTCTTCATCCGAAAGACTGTTTAGTATTTTTGTAACGTGGCTTGGCAGCACTTTTCGGTGAGCTTGCTCCTCAGCAGCACCCACAGCCTATATTATTGTGTTTGTTAGATGAGAACGACAAGGATGAAGTTGGCTCTCATTATGCTGTACATGATCTCAGAGTGTGGAGCTCTGAAATCGAAACAGGAGACATCACGCTGGGAACCTAAAGGTCTGAAAATGATTTTTAGTAATGTGACCTTTGACCGTTGAGGTTGTGTTTCTAAAACTTGGAGTGATTAATGACCCGTTTGTTTATACGGTTAAACTCTGTGTTCAGCAGTACAGACCAGTGCCAAGACTTGCTCAAACCTGACTCAGGTGCTGGACAACTGGAAATTTGCTATTCTGACCCAAGTGAAAGACTTGCTGATCAATGACCACGCTTCAGTCCTTCCTGAATATAACAGGTGAGTTATATCAGCTTCTGATTAAACTGGATGTGCACAGCAATGATAGCAGACAGACGAGTCTAAATGTTAAGTAAGAGTAACGTCAAACGTCCAGGAAAAACAACGCTCGGTGATGTCAGTGAACATTTGACTCGTCCTCAGGGTTTGTTGAAATAAAGACTTATGCAATCTGCTCTGTGCTGCACATGAATTGTCAGTGCCAGTAAAGCGATCAATGATTGCTGTTGTTCACATGAGGCCAGCTCTGCTTTGTAAATGACCTCAGTGTACTTACTGTGCCAAAATACAATAGTGAGTGTTTCATCATGCTCTGGCAGACATTACTCCAAGTCAGTGAACATTTCATCTGGTGATTCGATTCTGAACTGTGATTGCAACACTTAGGATCACAGTTCACCAGAACTTTTCCCAGTAAACATCTAAGGTCAGCCCGTCTCTACTG